TAGAGCACCGTTGCAGTGGAGGTTTCGTAGATAGATCCTTCCTGTGTAAGACACTGGAGGAAAGCGATTGTAGAATTAGCAACTCGACAATTTTCGACTAGAAAGGCTCTGTAACAAATTTTTAAAAAAAATTTTATTAGAAAAGATATTCTTAGATAACAAATTTTGTATTTGTAAATGTAGCAAGATGTCAAGAAAAATTTAAAATGCCTTTATAGTAATATAAAATATGTTCACCTTTTGCAAAGAAGGCAAAAGAATGAATTTCTTTGTAGAGCTTAAAATCAAGCTCGACTAGAGCACCGTTGCAGTGGAGGTTTCGTAGATAGATCCTTTCCGTGTAAGACACTGGATGAAAGCGATTGTAGAATTAGCAACTCGACAATTTTCGACTAGAAAGGCTCTGTAACATATTTTTTAAAAAAATTTTTATTAGAAAAGATATTCTTAGATAACAAATTTTGTATTTGTAAATATTGCAAGATGTCAAGAAACATTTAAAATGCATTTATAGTAATATAAAATATGTTCACCTTTTGCAAAGAAGGCTCGGACGTTGAAGAAAGACACGAATGAATTTCCTTGTAGAGCTATTTAATCAAGCTCGACGAGAGCACCGTTGCAGTGGAGGTTTTGTAGACAGATCCTTCCCGTGTAAGGCACTGGAGAAAAGTGATAGCTCTCAGTGTGCGTGTGCTCGTTTTATACAAGTAGCACGGACGTTGACGAAAGGCTTGTGCGAGACAACTAAATTTACTTGTAGAGCTATAAATCAAGCTCGACAAGAGCACCGTATGCCGTGGAGGTTTCGTCAGTGCGGGGGCACTGTTGTTAAGGTCCTTCTCGTGTAAGACACTAGAGGCAAGTGAAGCTCCCAGTGTGCGTGCGCTTCTTTTATACAAGTAGCACGGACGTTGAAGAAAGGCTTGTGCGAGACGACCGAATTTCCTTGCTGACAGCCAACTCAAGCTCGACAAGAGCACCTTCGCCGTGGAGGTTTCGTCAGTGCGCTGAACTGATGAGTAGATCCTTCCCGTGTAAGACACTGGAGGCAAGTGAAGCTCCCAGTGTGCGTGCGCTACTTTTATACTAGAGCACGGACGTTGTAGAAAGGCTTGTGCGAGACGACCGAATTTCCTTGCTGACAGCCAACTCAAGCTCGACAAGAGCACCTTCGCTCTCGAGGTATTGTCAGTGCGTTGGGCACTGTTGGAGAGATCCTTCCCGTGTAAGACACTGGAGGCAAGTGAAGCTCCCAGTGTGCGTCTGCTACTTTTATACTAGTGCACGGACGTTGAAGAACGGCTTGTGCGAGACGACCGAATGTCCTTGCTGACAGCCAACTCAAGCTCGACAAGAGCACCTTCGCCGTGGAGGTTTCGTCAGTGCGCTGAACTGATGAGTAGATCCTTCCCGTGTAAGACACTGGAGGCAAGTGAAGCTCCCAGTGTGCGTGCGCTACTTTTATACAAGTAGCACGGACGTTGAAGAAAGGCTTGTGCTAGACGACCGAATTTCCTTGACGAGCGCCAACTCAAGCTCGACAAGAGCACCTTCGCCGTGGAGGTTTCGTCAGTGCGCTGAACTGATGAGTAGATCCTTCCCGTGTAAGACACTGGAGGCAAGTGAAGCTCCCAGTGTGCGTCTGCTACTTTTATACTAGCGCACGGACGTTGAAGAAAGGCTTGTGCTAGACGACCGAATTTCCTTGACGAGCGCCAACTCAAGCTCGACAAGAGCACCTTCGCCGTGGAGGTTTCGTCAGTGCGGGGGCACTGTTGTTAAGGTCCTTCTCGTGTAAGACACTAGAGGCAAGTGAAGCTCCCAGTGTGCGTGCGCTACTTTTATACAAGTAGCACGGACGTTGAAGAAAGGCTTGTGCGAGACGACCGAATTTCCTTGCTGACAGCCAACTCAAGCTCGACAAGAGCACCTTTGCCGTGGAGGTTTCGTCAGTGCGCTGAACTGATGAGTAGATCCTTCCCGTGTAAGACACTGGAGGCAAGTGAAGCTCCCAGTGTGCGTGCGCTACTTTTATACTAGAGCACGGACGTTGTAGAAAGGCTTGTGCGAGACGACCGAATTTCCTTGCTGACAGCCAACTCAAGCTCGACAAGAGCACCTTCGCTCTCGAGGTATTGTCAGTGCGTTGGGCACTGTTGGAGAGATCCTTCCCGTGTAAGACACTGGAGGCAAGTGAAGCTCCCAGTGTGCGTGCGCTACTTTTATACTAGAGCACGGACGTTGTAGAAAGGCTTGTGCGAGACGACCGAATTTCCTTGCTGACAGCCAACTCAAGCTCGACAAGAGCACCTTCGCTCTCGAGGTATTGTCAGTGCGTTGGGCACTGTTGGAGAGATCCTTCCCGTGTAAGACACTGGAGGCAAGTGAGGCTCCCAGTGTGCGTCTGCTACTTTTATGCTAGTGCACGGACGTTGAAGAAAGGCTTGTGCTAGACGACCGAATTTCCTTGCTGACAGCCAACTCAAGCTCGACAAGAGCACCTTCGCTCTCGAGGTATTGTCAGTGCGTTGGGCACTGTTGGAGAGATCCTTCCCGTGTAAGACACTGGAGGCAAGTGAAGCTCCCAGTGTGCGTCTGCTACTTTTATACTAGCGCACGGACGTTGAAGAAACGCTTGTGCGAGACGAGCGAATTTCCTTGACGAGCGCCAACACAAGGTCGACAAGAGCACCTTTGCTCTCAAGGTCTTGTCAGTGCGCGGGCACTGTTGGTGAGATCCTTCCCGTGTAAGACACTGGAGGCAAGTGAAGCTCCCAGTGTGCGTGTGCTACTTTTATACAAGTAGCACGGACGTTGAAGAAAGGCTTGTGCGAGACGACCGAATGTCCTTGCTGACAGCCAACTCAAGCTCGACAAGAGCACCGTCGCCGTCGAGGTCTTGTCAGTGCGCGGGCACTGTTGGTGAGATCCTTCCCGTGTAAGACACTGGAGGCAAGTGAAGCTCCCAGTGTGCGTCTGCTACTTTTATACTAGCGCACGGACGTTGAAGAAAGGCTTGTGCTAGACGACTGAATTTCCTTGACGAGCGCCAGCTCAAGCTCGACAAGAGCACCTTCGCCGTCGAGGTATTGTCAGTGCGCGGGCACTGTTGGTGAGATCCTTCCCGTGTAAGACACTGGATGCAAGTGAAGCTCCCAGTGTGCGTGTGCTACTTTTATACAAGCGCACGGACGTTGAAGGAAGACCCCACTGCGTGGGGGGAATTACTCCCCACTTTCATGCTTAGCAATAGTTTTCTCTCTCTCTCTATTTCTTGGCGCGTCATTGTGTTGCTAAGCATGAGTGTTGTGTCAGCTTAAGGTTTTTACAGAGAAAACTCTGAATTGTGAAAAATTGCTGAGTTGGTGAATGTACCTTAACACCCCCACCACATCTTTTTTTTGGAAACTACAAAAGTGCAACGCACTATGTTCTCAACCCTGAACTTAAGAGACTAGTTTCTCAGCCGTGATAACGTTAATCAAAACAAACCGGGTATTTAAATGTGACATTTTTAATGCAATAATAAATAATTAGTAGAAGAAATTCAAAATAATAATTGTAACTATTAGAGCAAGAGAGTATAATATCTGTTTACATTATATCGAATTTATTCCTCGGTAAGTTAGGTAATAAAATTGCGACTTGAACGCAATATTTTTTCCGATTTCCCGATTTTCGGAACCAATATTTATTTCAATATAAAATATATTTTGAAATAATAATTCAATTTATTTTATTTTAAAGATTGTAAATTACTCAAAAAAATTTTGATTAAAGATGAAAAAATGAATTTCCATGTTTTATTATTAGAGCTAAAGGATAAATATGCCCAAGTGAGAAAACTACTATATTCTGACGATAAAATAATAAATGAGACAACACAATATAAAATCAAATATGCAGCAATTGAAATTTTAAAAGAAATGCAAAGTTCTCTTTTGAAAACCTCCATCAATTTATTTAAAGTCTATAAAAGTCAGTTTTAAAAAAAACCGTAAATTGTACGATATGATTTAGAGAATTTTTCAGAAGTTACAAATGATTACAGAATTTTAATTATTTTTAAAAGTAATTAATTCTTTGGATAAATTAAATTATGTTTCAAAATTTTGGAAGATTCTGGTCAAAATTAAATTTTGTTTCAAATTAAAGATCTTGAGAATGTTTTGGGTTTTGGGGAAAAAAAGCATACACCCGCTTCATTTGTTCTTAATAAATATATTATTTAGAATTTGACTATAAAAAATGTCAATAATTATTCAAAATCTTTTTCAATCACACTGTGCGAGATTGAAAAAACATCGTTTCAATCTCTTTGGTGTAAAGTTGTAGTTCGATTTTTAACAGTGTACGAGTCATGGATAATATGAGTGAAAGGCTGCAATTTTTGTTACATGCTTTTGATAAACTTCCTGGTTTCAAGACAATAATTGTGTCATGCGTGTTGTGTATTTTTTTGTTTTGTTTTTTTGTGCTTCATTTTATATTAACCTCAATGATTGATAATAAAAATATTAATAATAAAAATAGTAATACAAAAGTACTATTAAAAAATAGTAATAAAAAAATAGTAGTGAAAACAAAATAATATAGTAATAATAACAAAACTAATAATACAAATATTAATAATACAAAAATATTAATAATTCAAAAATAATAATAAAAAAATAGTAATAGAGAAATAATAATAAAAATAATAGTAATAATAATATATCTACTACAATAATCGAAAATTGTCAACAGAGTTTAATTACTGGTCTGATAACAATTCTTTTATATTACTGTATATTCATAAATGAAAAATATAAATCGGGTAAAATAAATGACATTGCAAATTTTGAATTACCTACTTTTCATCACAAATTAATTTATGATTGACTTTTCGAATTAATTTTGAAGTGCGTGGAAAGTAAAAAGTAAATTTCAATTTTCGTAAAAATTGGTGAATAAAATTCTTTTTTTATATTTTAATAAATATTTTTCTTCTTTTTCAGGTCCGTCAAGTTTGAGCCGAACGTAATCATGACAAATCGAAAGGAATATAAAATTTGGGATTGATAATTGTTCTCTAAACGTCGCAAGATGTCAACGGAAGCTGTACGCATCACTCCCGAAGAGGAACAGGGGTAATTAATTTTTTTTTAATTCAACTCTTTAATGTTTCTTTTTTTTGGTGTCGAACCTGCGACGAACTTATGACATTGACATTCTTTTCCCTAGAGAAAAGAGATTTTCTTTTCCATTGAGATTCTTTTCCTCTTCTCATAAATGGAAAATATAAATCGTTTTACATGGAAGTCATTTTCACTAATATGTCTCAATAATGGTAATTGAACTTTTTACCACAAAAGGTTAATATAAAAATTGATTATTATAACTTTGAGAAAGTTTTTTGCCTCTAGGGATATTGTAATTTGCCTGCATTAAGGGACGGGATATCCGTATGTTCATCAAAAACTATATACGTTTCCCCTTTTTGCGGTTTTGCGCCTTTCAATCTACTAGATGCTCTTTTTTCATATGCGCTTAGATTTTACAATATATATACATATAGATATACATATAGATATCGCGGATATTTTATATACATCCGTGTGAAAGCGCCAGTTTGCGACGCCAAGAGACGAACCTGGTTCGCACGAGGGTCGGCCTGGGGGGAAGGCAGTCATTGACATTGAGAAAAGACCGTCGTGAATGTGACTAATCGACACGCTTAGCTTATACTTGTGTTCATAATTCGTATATTATATGTTTAATAATACTTTTGAATTTCTGGATCTGGAAAATGGAAAATCGCGTCGTCAGGCAGGAAAATTAGGTGGCTCGTAAAATTCAAATTCTCGTTTTTTTCCGAATATGGAAAAGTTCTTTAATACTCTTATCTTTTAAAGTAGTCATTAACAGTACAAATAAGGCCCGAATAGTAGATAAAGACTTTTCAAGTTGAACTCTAATTCTCTAAATGGATTTTCTTCCTTTGTGTAATTTAAAAGAATAAATAGTTTTATTTCAATTATTTATTTTCGAAAAGTTAAACTTATTTAAATTTAAATCAACAAAAAGTTAAAATTAAAATTATTTGACTCTGTTAGCAGAGCTTGAACTAGGTCCGTAAATCCCATAAAGGTTCGTAAATTTGCTTGAAGTCTGTAAAAGTCAGTTTTTTTAAATAGGTCCGTAAAAATCCGTAATTTGATTAAAAAGGACGAAAAGTTCGTAAATTGTACGATATAATATGGAGAATTTTTTAAAAAAATTACAAATGATTGCAGAAATTCAATTATTTTCAAAAGTAATAAAATTCTTCGCAGAAATTCAATTATGATTAAAATTTTTTTTAAATTCTTGTCAAAATTCCAATTATCTTTATAAATATAATAAAATTCTTCTCCGAAATTCAATTATTTTCAAAAATTTTAATAAAGTTCTTAGCAAAATTTCAATTAATTTCACAAATTTTCAATATGTACTATTTTAATAAAATTTTTTATAAATTTCTTCGAAATAATTCAATTATTTTCATAAATAATCAAATGTTTATAGGGATTCAATTATTTTCGTGAATAATAAAATTCTTTATAGGAATTCAATTATTTTCACAAATAATAAAACTCATCATAGAATTTCAATTATTTTTGATACAATTTTAATGGAATTTCTCGAAAAATGTAATTATTCTTAAAAATTTTATTAAAATTCGTCCAGAAAATTCAATTATTTAAAAATTTGATGATAAAATTCTTTAATAGAATTGAATTTTCAAAAAACATTTAATTACTAAATAAATTATTTATTTTTGCATTTAAATAATTGAACTCGAGTAGAATTTTCTAATAAAAATCGATTTAAAAATTAATTTCAGTTAAAATTTTATATTATAATAATTGAATATTGAAAAGGTTTCAAATTAAAATCTTTGAAAATCTGAGTTTTTCATATTTTTAACCAACAATTCAGTGGAATTAATTTTTTTGAAAAAATTTAATTGCGGATTTTTTTTTAAAAATATTTGAAGTTTTTATTTTCTAATATATATTTAATTGAAGAATTTCCGAATAATTGAAATTTTGTGAAACTGAATTGTAAACAAATGATTTTTAAAATTCTCAAAACACTTTTTCAAAAATTATTAAATATTATAAATTTATGGAAAAATTTCAATTAAAAACAAAAAAAATTTAATTTTGGAGAAGTTACAAATTATTGTAGAAATTACTTTCAAAAATAATAAAATTCGTCTTAGGGATTCAATTATTTTTAATACAATTTTAATCGAATTCCTCGAAAAATGTAATTATTCTTAAAAATTTTAGTAAAATTCGTCCACAGAATTTAATTAGTTAAAAATTTGTTGAAGAAATTCTTTATGAAAATTGAATTTTAAGAAATATTCAAAAATTCAATAAATTATTTATTTTTGTATTTAAATAATTGAATTCTAGTAGAATTTTCTAATAAAAATTGATTTTCATTTCATAAAAATGAATTTCAGTTAAAATTTTAGATAATAATTGAGTATTAAAAGCAATATAGCGTGAATTTTGAGAAATAATTGAATTTTGAAATTAATTTTTTTGAAAAAGTTTAATTGAATTATTTTTATATTATTTGAAGTTTTTATTTTCTAATATATATTTAATTGTAGAATTTACTAATAATTCAAATGTCGTAAAATTGAATATTGTAAAGAAATAAATTTGAAAATTGTTAAAGAACTTTTTCGAAAATTATTAAAAATATAGTTGATTTAAAGAAGAATTTTAGTTAAAAATTCTAGAAAATAATGATTTTATCACTCGGTCATCTTTAATTATTATAAAACATGAAGAAATCGATGACTCCGAGTCGAAGACTCGGAGTTATCGATATCTTCATGTTTTATAGTTATGAAAAATTAGAGAAAAAAAGAAATTCAAAAAGTTACTTACAACAATTGACTTTAATTTTGCGAAAAACTTTTTTATTGAAAAAAATCGAATATTGAATAGAAAAAATAATTCTGCTCGGAAAATTAAAAAATAGGAGAGAAAAATTTTACAATCTCTCTAAATAATTAATATTTAAATTTTCTTTTTTTCCAACAACATATTTATTTTTGTTTTACTATTCACATTAACCCAGTTTCATAAATAACTAAACGTATATAAAAAAGGAAAAACATTGCACTATTTTTTACTGGTTTAAAATTGGAACAAAGGGACTTGAAATTGCTGGGAAAATGCGATTGTTCTTGAAATGTTTACAATAGATTTTTATTAAATACATAATGTGTATTTATATATGAACATGGACAAAGTGGTACGTACAATTACGAATTAGCCAGAGGCACTTGGTGAAATGAACCTTAAACCTTAAGGTTAAATAACGGTTCTTTTACTGGTACATGACTACAGTCTGTTTGCAATTCCTGCCCTAGCGACTGATACTTGTATATATATTTCTGAGTCCTATCCTGGGCCTCGATTATGCATTGAAAAATACGAAAACCTGTCCCAAGTTCGAAAGTAGATTAGAGATCAACTTCCACAGCATCCTTTCATATCCCTTTGTTATTTATCTCTTTTTTCTAAACAATTAAATTTAAATTTGACAATTTTTTTCTAAATTCTATATATAAGAACAATTTTAAATTTAAAAATTCTATTTGAGAAAAATTTTTATTTTTACGAATATAAATATAAATTTCCCAAATTTGAAAATTGGAGTCAGAATTCAAAAAACGGAAATTTCCTTGTCTTTGAATAGAATTAAAATAAAGTATAAAATAAAAATATATAAAAAATAGAAATATTAAAAATTAAAAATAGAAATATTAAAATAGAAAAATAGAAATAAAACAAAATTAAAAATGTATAAAGAATAAGACGAAATTCGAATATAATTTCGAATCTTATAAATAGAATTTCGTAGAATTTTTTTTATTTTCAAGTGCTATCTGAGATTTTGCACATAATTAACGGTCTTCATCGTGTATTGTATTCTAGGTTTTGAATATGAGGCATAAGACGATAATGATCCGTAACTTTTCGGTCTTTTCCTCTCGCTTTCTCCTTCTCTGGGTCTCCATCAACAATCACCTTTTGCGTGTTTAGCCGTATACAACGTTCCGGATACTTTAGTTCGTTTAATTCAATTCACAATACGTTTTTTTCCGTCTAAACAAAACAAAAAATTCTATTCCATTCTTTCATTAAAAGACATTAATGATCGTTATATCATTAAAAACAAATTATTTCCCTAATTTTTACTCTCTTTTTCAAAGAAGAACTATATTATTACTTTAATAAGGAAACTTTTCATTTTCATTTAGAATTTCATTTTTTTTACTTTCTTCCCACATTGAGAGAATGTATAACCAATATTTTTTTCACATCGAAAAAACCAGTTTTTTTTCTGTCGATTAATAATTTAAATGAGCGTAGGAAGAAGAATCGATTGATAAATATTTAATGGTGAAAATAATGTCTTCTCAAAAGTCATTGTCGCAGATAATTTTTTTCATTTCTACTTTCGATTATTTTTTTTTATTCAATTTTTGACAGATCTTCTCCATGAAGATGTTGATTAGAATTATTGCATCCTATTAAAATATATAAATGTTTTTTAAGAACTATAATTTAATACACGTATAGAATTGACAGGTGTTAGATTGATAGATATATTATTACGTGTCAAGAATTCAAAATGATAATGTTAATAATATTGTCATGCTTTTGTTTGACTAAATTGTTTCGATTATTTACTTTCACCTTTAATTCACAGTCGAAAATTTTCATTCATTGATAAAAAAAATATTAAATTTCTTTCTCACATTATTTTATTTTGTTCTGTTTTAATATTTTGTTCTATTTTAATTTCTTTTATTGTTTTTTAATTTTATTCTATTTACAGTTTTTATTTATTTTATTTCAATTTCTTTTTTTTAGATTTATTTGATTCGGTTTTAATATATTTTATTTAGTTTTATTAATTAATAGTTTTATAAATTAATTTTATTAAATTCTATAATTAATTTTATTGAATTTTAATTAATTTCATTCAATTCTAATTAATTTTATTAAATTTCTAAATAATTTTCTTCTATTTCCAATTTAATTTAATCTATATTTCTAATCTATTTTATTTT